AGAATTATGAAAACAAAGCTGTTCTTTTCACTGTGTTTAACTTCCATTACGAAAGACAGCGAGAAAAGAAGAGAGATGTGTCGTTAATGTTTAGTTGCCTATTCGTATACTACAAGCAAGCTTCTATGTATAGCTATAGCTCAAAAATGCAACTAAATGGTTTTGAAAAAAAGGATTGTTGAACTACGTAAAAATAGGAATAATTCTTTCATTAAAAAATCAACAAAATGCTGCTGAAATAAGTGTTTAGAAGTACATTACTTCTGTAGTCACTACGAAAACAAAATGTTTAAAAATCAGAATATAGAAAACGAGAAGTGAGTAAATAAAAGAAAACGCAACAAACCGAAGCATAGAAAATGGGAAGACCAGCCCAAGAGAAAACGGAATCAACGACTCGGAAGTCCCGTAAACCTTCGGAAGAAAATGCAGAGAGAGATATATAACCCAATTAAACAGACAAATAGATAAACACTCTACCTGGAAGAGTTCGTCCCATTTTGCGTTTATGGTAATGAGTTTCTCGCGGATCTCTTGTGCCACTTCGGGCCTGCAGGTGGCGGCTAAGAAGTTTCCGGTCTCGTTCATCTGCGTGTGTTTGTCTCGCCATTCGCCCAAGTCCTGTGTCGGAAGAAGGAAAGGGAGAGATAAGATTAGAAAATTATATGGAATTGTAGTTATTATTATTATTTTTTTTTTAATTAATCACAGGAAACTAATCCATTCTTCCTTTTTTCTCTTTTAACAGTTGAATAATAAAATATCGTACACCAAAGAAGAGCAAAGATATAAGTATAAATAGAAACTGAAGATCAACAAAAACTTAAAAGAGACGAGAAAAGAGAGAAAGAAAGATACAAACACACAAAGGAAACATAACAACAACAACATTACTCAAAAACAACAAAAGAGACGAGAAAAGAGAAGAAAGATACAAACACACAAAAGAAATAAACAACAACACATTACAAATCAACAAAAACTTAAAAGAGACGAGAAAGAGAGAAGAAAGATACAAACAACACAACAAAAGAACATAAACAACAACATTACGCAAATCAACAACAAAAACTTAAAAGAGACGAGAAAAGAGAGAAAGAAAGATACAAACACACAAAAGAAACATAAAACAACAACAACAAATCAACAGTGCCTCTCGCCGCCTAACCTGGAAGAACTCCATCTTCTCCTCCTCGGGCAGACCGACCATGGACAGCGCGCGCTCCAGCCACACTTCGAACTGCTCGGTCAAGTCCACGAACTTCTGCCAGTAGGTGATCACTTCCTCCAGGAGGGACTGGATGCAACGGAGCTCCACGGACACGTTCTTCCAGCGCTCGTTCATCTCCAGGAGGAACTTGGCGATCCCGTCACTCTCGGCTTTGCCTGGAGGTGGAGGGGGGAAGGGGAAGGGGAGGGGAAGGGGAGGGGGTTTGAAGTGGTTTATTTCGGTTCAGAGATGGGTTTAGGTTAGGTCTGTCTGAATGAAGTTTGGGTGTATATATATTTATATTTATATCTTATTTATCTTTTTTTTGTGAAGGGGGTGATAGAATTTTTTTTTTTTTTTTTTTTTGATTTGTTTTATTCCTCCCATCCCTATGAAGAGAAAATAAATCCGACAAGAATAAGACGAAAAAAACTCCTGTAAAAAAAAGAAGAAGAAAAAAAAACGACAGGAAAGAGACGAAGAAAAATCCCATAAAAAACCCGTAAAACTCACTGAGATTCGAGTCCTTCTTGTAGGCCTCGGCCACCTGCTGCATCTCCAAGAAGGCTCGGTCGAACTCCTGGAAGATGTTCCTGGTGCCGACGAAGGACCGGTACTCGCTCAGGATCTGCTGGACCTCCTGCTCCCTGCCGTACTTGACCGCCCACGTCTTCAGCTTGGCCTCCACCAGGATCAGGAAGGCCACGAGGCAGTACTGAGAGGGAGAGAGAGAGAAAAAAATGATGTTTTTTTTGTGTGTGTGTATTTTTATAGCGTTAAAAATCTAATATTTTTTTGTGTTTTTATAGCGTAAAAAACGTCTAATATTTTTTTGATAGCGTCAAAAACTCTAATATTTTTGTGTTTATCTAATATTTATAGCGTTAATATTTTTTTGCGTATCTAATAATAGGTGCGTAAAAAAATCTAATCTTTATAGCGTCAAAAGTATTTTTCATAGCGTCAAAAAAAAAAAAAAAAAAAAAAAAAAAAAACGGAGAGACCACCCACCCGATGCTCCAGATACTTGAGCTTGATCTTCCTGACGGCGGCGCGGGGGGCGATCGTCTTGAGGCGGAGCTCCATGTACTCCAGCTGCTGCGGCGGAATCACGCTGGCATCCGGAGAGTTCTTGAGGGATTCGAACTTGGTGACGATGGACGGCAGCTCGGCGAAGAAGGCCTTGTGTTCCTCGATCTTCTTGCTGAGGAGGTTGGCGATCTGGAAGGTGTTAAGGGGAAGGAGGAGGAAGGAAGGAAGGAGGAGGAAGGAGAAAGGAGGAGGTTGGTGTTATTAAATGAGGAAGAATTGGTGGGTAAATATATATTTATTTATTTATTTGGTTGTTGAATATATATATATATAATAATCTATACATTTTTTTTCTTTTTTTTATCTATCTATTAAGAATTGGTGGGTATATATATATTTTTTTCTTTTTCATTTATCTATTTATTATAACTTCTTGGGGATGTATTTCTTTTCTCTCTTTTCTTAAATCTGAAAGTTTTGATTTTATAGTTCATATAGCGAGGAACGAGAGAAAAGGAGAAATTACAAGTGTTTATTTTATTTTTTATTTTTTGGAAGTGTTGGGGTATTTTTTTCTTGTCTTTTTGTTTTCAAAATGGGATGGAAAAAATATTTTATTATTTTATGAGGGGCGAGATACTGTATTTATTTGGTGCACTTCTCTCTCTCGCCCACCGTTCCCTCTCTTCCTCCCTTCCTGTCTCCCCTATTTTCTTTAAATCCCTCTCCCTCCACCCTTCCTTCATCCCCTCAATATCCTCACCCTCAAATCCTCACTCTCCCTCCTTCACCCTCACCTTCAAACTATCCCTCTCACCCTCAACCTCACTCTCTTACCCTCAACCCCTCAACCTCACCCTCCCTCCTTCACCCTCACCCTCAATCCATCCCTCTCACCCTTACCCTCAAAACACCCCTCTCACACTCACTCTCTCACCCTCACCCTCACTCTCAACCCTCTCACACTCTTCCCTCACCTCATCATGCTTTCCATGTAGCTTGTCCTCAACCCCTCACCCTCACCCTCCCTCCTTCACCCTTACCCTCAAACCATCCCTCTCACCATTACCCTCAAATTCACCCTCACCCTCTACCCTCACTCTCTTACCTTCAACCCCTCACCCTCCCTCTTTCACCCTTACCCTCAAACCATCCCTCTCACACTCACTCTCAACCCTCACACACTCTTCCCTCACCTCATCATGCTTTCCATGTAGCTGGTCCTGCAATCCTGACCCTCACCCTCCCTCCTTCACCCTTACCCTCAAAACACCCCTCTCACACTCACTCTCTCACCCTCACCCTCGCTCTCAACCCTCAACCCCTCACCCTCCCTCCTTCACCCTCACCCTCACACTCACTCTCTCACCCTCACCCTCACTCTCAACCCTCTCACACCCTTCCCTCACCTCATCATGCTTTCCATGTAGCTTGTCCTCTGTCCCCAGCATGGCCTCGGCGCGACTCAGCCACTCGCCGATAGGTCCGAGGGCGCCAGGGAGGGAGGCATCCAGGAGCCACGTCCAGTGAGACAGCTGCTGCGACACCTGCGGGATAGGGAGGAAGGAGGGTGAGAGAGAGAAAGAAGGAGCGAAGAGAGAAGATAAAATGGAAGATGTGATAGGAGGGAGGAAAGAAGAAGCGAAGAGAAGATAAAATGGAAGATATGACAGGAGGGAGAGAAAGATGGAACGAAGGGAGAAGATAAAATGGAAGATATGACAGGGGTGAGAGAAAGATGGAACGAAGAGAGAAGATAAAATGGAAGATATGGCAGGAGGGAGAGAAAGATGGAGCGAAGAGAGAAGATAAAATGGAAGATATGACAGGGGCGAGAGAAAGAAGGAACGAAGGGAGAAGATAAAATGGAAGATATGGCAGGAGGGAGAGAAAGATGGAGCGAAGAGAGAAGATAAAATGGAAGATGTGAAAGGGGTGAGAGAAAGATGGAACGAAGAGAGAAGATAAAATGGAAGATATGATAGGAGGGAGGAAAGAAGAAGCGAAGAGAGAGAAGATAACATGAAATATGTGACGGGAAGAAGGAAAGAAGAAGCGAAAAGAGAGAAGATAACACGAAAGATATGATGGGAAGGAGGAAAGAAGAATCGAAAAGAGAGAAAATAACACGAAAGATATGACAGGAAGAAGGAAAGAAGAAGCGAAAAGAGAGAAGATAACATGGAAGACATAAAAGGGGAAACTTTAATCTGTACATTTTCAGCCAACACTCGACAGGCAATAAAAATTCCTAACTCTGCAGTATATTTATGGAAAATGCACTTTATACGATCATTATCTGAAACAAAAAGAGGTTAAAAAGTCAAGAATAAAACGAATAGAATAGAAATAACCACGAAACATCTTTTCCTTTTAAAGATAAAGAATCTACCTCGGGGGAACGAAAGAAAGTCAACTTTCCTCATCCAGCTTTCTTATCCCTCTCCTCCTCCTCCTCCTCCACCTCCTCCTTCTTCTTGTTCTTGCTCTTCTTCTCCTTCTCTTACTCCTCTCCTCTCCTCCCCCTCCACCTCCTAAACCTCCTCCTCCTCCAACTCCTCCTACTCTTCTTCTCCTCCTTCACCTCCACCTCTCCTCCCACCTCTTCCCCCTCCTCCTCCCTCACCTCCCCTCCTCCACTCCCTCCTCCTCCTTCCCCCTCCCCCTCCCCCTCACCCCACCCTAAAACAAACAAACAAAACAAACAAACCACCCCAGACCCCAGACCCAGACCCACATACCTTGTTCCATGAGGCGATAATGTCCTGCCATGAGTCCGAGGTGATGGAAATCATGGACGACTGAGAGTCCATGAGGCCGGCAAGTTTCTCATAGATGACTTGCTTCTCGTCGGCTTCGGACTTGAGGGCTTTGAACCTCTGCGATGGAGGTGGGGAAAAAAGGGGAAAAAATGAAAAAATAAAAAAGGAAATAAAGGTAGGGAAATTGATAAAAAAAAAAAGTAGGGAAATTGATAAAAAAAAATAATAATAAAGTAAGGAAATTGATAAAAAAAATAAGTAAGGTAGGGAAAATTGATCAATAAAAATAAAGTAGGGAGGGAGATTTGAGAAAGGGGAAGAGAATGAGAGATGGGGGGTAATAATGGGGGGAATAATGGTGGAGATGTGATGGAGAAAAGGAAAGGGGAGACATTAGAAAAATGATATCAGAGGGAAGGAGTAAAATAAGTTGGAGGGGAGATGAGGTTGTGGGGTGAATTAATGTATAATATATATATATTATTAATATAGTATACTAGGACACGTTATAGCGTGCTGGTCTGGCAGTTGCTACATCTACTAGATACGTAATATAGTACTGGTAATTTAGGTGTGTTATCTGTGAGTTTATTTATATAAAGCATGGTAGTGCTATATTACCTACTCGGTTGTGCTATCGTGTATGTTATGTAGTACTATATTTAGTCTTGCCTGATCGGCTCGCTATCATCTTCAGGCGGTATTGATCCTATATAATTACATATATATATCCCTATATGAGGGTTAGCTATTACGGCTCGTGAGCCCCGTGCTCAGTAATGTGGTTTACTATACTAGCATTATATATTATTATGTACTAGCGCGTAGCCTCCCATACTCCCCCTATAGAGGGAACCGTACGTCACTGATGGGACCTACTACTATGTACTATAGGGTAGCGGTAATCATTATTTTCCGCTGACACACCTATATAATGTTACCGGTATACGTTCAGCGCTTCACTAGTGTATGATTCACGTATCCGTTACATGTATTACTGTAGGTTGAAGAGTGTATTATAGGTGAGGCTATGTTCGAGTGGCATTATCCCGTTGAGTTATGATTCTCTTCATCCACCTCGTCGCAGATTCGCAGCGCGGTGTTGCCATGTTGCTGCCGATGGGCTATGCATCATCCGTTATACCTCGTGCGATGCGATTGTAAGGCTTTATTCCTCCTAACTCCCTGCTCAGATGTGTGTACCCTGCACCATTCTCTTACGTGGTGACTAGAACCTCACTGGGATTGTCGCGTCCCGTACCCTATATATACCCCGTCTATACGTCACTCTCTTATGCTCAACACCGCGCCGCGGTATATATATAGCTTGATTAAGCTGATCGAGTACTGTGTGTTCCTCGCTGAGCGTACTCTAGCCGGTCACTCCTCGGCGCTCCTCTATTAGTTCACCTCAAGTCCTGTCTTGATGATTCTTACTGATCGCATCCGATACGCCCGCTGTCTCCACTGCTAGTAATCGATGCGTTTATGATTTACATAGTTAATGTCAATGTTAGGGTTCGCATGAGCTTATCTATTTATCGCGCCGTTCTATACAATATATATATATTAAAGGTATAACCCAACTAGTAAACTCGCAGTCGTACTTGCCCTAACTTTGGACAGTAGTCATTGCGCTCGTACCTACATATATACTGACTAGTTAGTGCTGCTTTTCTGCGTCAGATCAGATCGATAATTGTATTCATGTACCTACTCACCGTGGTTGGCCGAGTGAGCCGATGAGTCTGCTCAGCGTATATATCTAGCGTACATAGTAAGTTTAGTACTGCGTATATGCGCCTCGCGAGAGTAGAGTATATACTAATATATATATACACTATTGTATATATATAGTAGTGTATATTATAGACGTATATTATATTATATTACTTATCTATATGATAGCCAGACACACACGACATCTACATGATGTGGTGGTGTGTGGTTTGATGAAAATAATACAGAGGAACGCAGGGGTACAGAAACAGAAAGAAAGATCGTAAACAGAAAATAAAAGTAAAAAAATATAGAAAGGGACAAAATAATAATAAAAAATATCGGGTCGAAAAACTCTCCGCTGTTTTCTTCTTCCACTTTTCCGAATGATTAAAAATAAAATGTAATTGATCTACTCCTGACACATTGACAGTTATTAACGCCATACTTAGTACTCTCACGTCCATGATTGAGAAACTCATCATTATCATCATTACCATCAATTACACACCTCATTATCATCACAAAAGCGTAGCGAGGTGAGGTAGTTATTCATCTAATAATTATCTACAACATCACTATAAAAAAACTCATTAGGAGGAAAATACAAACATATAAACACGATTACGTCAGAATCAGAAATATCGTATTTAAGACGTATGGCAAATATATATTTTAATAATAGTCAATGTGTTAAAAGAAATTATATACACCACAATAATAAGACAAATATACAGCAACATCATATGACATATATCATCAAAGAAAAAAAAAAGA